CCCAGACCCTCCACCACCCCTCCCTTGACTCTCAGCTCTTAAACGTTAGGGTCCCCTTTTTTTTTTTTTTTATTTTTGTTTTTTATTTTTGTCTTTTTGAGACAGGGCCTTCCTGCAGCCCCAGCTGGCCCAGAACTGACCAGGCTGGCCTTGAATTCAGAGATCCACTTGCTTCTGCCTCCCACATGCTGGGATTAAAGGCATGGGCCATCGCACCCCACTTAGCTCACCAATTCTTGGTAGAGACATAGAAGGTAACTTTTTGGCAGAGCAGAAATGTAACCAAGCCCAGAGTTCAGGGTGAACTGGCATGGATGGAGCCTTGCCAGGAACCTGAGGAGACTCATCTTCCTGGCATGTGGGGGACACAGAGTCAAATGGGCCTGGGGACAGGGAAGCCACTCTGCACGTGTTAATGAGCATCCAACACCAAAGACTACTGAGCACCTGCACACAGCAGCGAGCCAATCCCTGTCTGAGTGAGCTTTGCAAGGGGGAAAAACCCTTCTGTAAGTGTAAAAACGTATCAGACAGTTGTTAGAGTGCTTGCCCAGTGTGCACTAAACCCCAGGTTCGATCCACAGCGCCACATAAACCAGGCATGGTAGTGCACATCTGTCATCCTGGCACTCGGGGGTGGAGGCAGGAGGGTAAGAACCTGAAGGTCGTCCTCAGGCATCTAGTGCATTCCAGGCCAGCCTGGGCTGCTTGAGACCCCAGGTCAAAAACAATAAGACAGATTAATAATAATAATAAGAAAATAATAATAATAATAATAAAAGAGGGAATAGTGGCGCACAACTTTAATCCAAGCACTTGGGAGGCAGAGGCAGGTGAATCTGTGTTTGAGGCCAGCCTGGTCTACATAGTGAGTTCCAGGCCAGCCAGAGGTATACAGTGAGACCCTGTCTAAAATATAATAAAATAAGAGATAAATGAGGGGCTGGAGAGATGGCTCAGTGGTTAAGACACTGGCTGTTCTTCTAGAAGACCCATGTTCAAATCCCAGCACCCACATGGCAGCTAGCAACTGTTCGTAACACCAGTTCCAGGGGATCTGATGGCCTCTTCTGCCTTCCAAGGGCATTGCATGACACGGGTGTACTTACATACATGCAGACAACACACTCATACACATAAAAAAAAATATGCTGGATGTGGTGGCACACACTTTTAATCCCAGCACTTGGGAGGCAGAGGCAGGCAGATCTCTGTGAGTTCAAGGCCAGCTTGGTCTACATAGTGAGTTCCAGGCCAGCTGGGGCTATAAGGAGACCCTGTCTCAGAAAGACCAAAAAAATAAAAAACCCGATAATAATAATAATAATAATAATAATAAATATCTGGGCATGGTGGCGCATGCCTTTAATCACAGCACTTGGGAGGCAGAGGAAAGCAGATCTGAGTTCAAGGCCAGCCTGGTCTACATAGTGAGTTCCAAGCCAGCTGAGGCTACAGGGAGACCCTGTCTCAAAAAGACCAAAATAAATAAATAAATAGTATTTTAAAAAGAGATAAGCCAGGCGTGGTGGTGCACACCTTTAATCCCAACACTCAGGAGGCAGAGGCAGGTGGATCTCTGTGCATTCAGGCCAGACTTGTCTACATAGTAAGTTCCAGGACAGCTGGGGCTACAGGGAGACCCTGTCTCAAAAAGACCAAAATAAATAAATAAATAGTATTTTAAAAAGAGATAAGCCAGGCGTGGTGGTGCACACCTTTAATCCCAACACTCAGGAGGCAGAGGCAGGTGGATCTCTGTGCATTCAGGCCAGACTTGTCTACATAGTAAGTTCCAGGACAGCTGGGGCTACAGGGAGACCCTGTCTCAAAAGGACCAAAAAAAAAAAGGTAAATGAATCAGAAAAATAAAACAAGGGAGGAAGTGTAGAAGGGAGAGGTCAGGAGAAGGTTCTAATTTTAAACTGGGCATGTAGTGAATTCTCAAGGGTTGTGGGTGATGCAGGAGGCCAGTGGCAGGGCAGAGCCAGAGACAGGACCTGAGATTAGATCTGCCTGTCCAGGAAAAGGGGTGGATCATGAGGTGGAGGGAGGGTCCAGAGGCAGATGGAGCCCAAGAGAGGGGTGGGGCATGAGGCAGAGGTGGAGCTAAGGGGTTAACCAGGATAGCCGCAGCCCCCGCCCCCCACACCCTTCCCGCCTCAGCGCATTCCGAGGTTCGCACCCAGTTTCAAGGGTTGAGGCCTCTGCAGGCTTCTTGGCCTGGGGGCGGGGCTAGCGTGGAGGGTGTGACCCCAACCACCAGGTCTGCCTATGGGGGTGGAAACTAGGCGGTGAGGACCAGGCTTTGAGGTGGGCGGGGTGTTGCGATTGACTTGCACCTCTGAGGTCCGCATTTGAAGTCCAGGATGGGCTCTGGGCAATGGGAGGAGCCAGGGTGGGTAAAGCCCCTCGGGAAGGCAAGAGGCCAGATTGACATATGCCCCTCCTGGGGTTGGCCTACAGATCTTGGGCGTGGCTACAAGGGGGGGCAGGGGTGTTGGTGGTGGTGTGGCGGGGTGGGTGGGGACCGAGACAGGTGGGCAGAGCTCTGGGATGGGCAGGGCCCGAAGATTGACAAGAGCCCCTCCTCGATTTCCTAAAGACCTTGGGTGGCATCTTCAGTTCTATAGGTATCAGTGGGGTGTGCTAGGGGGCGGGGACAGGATGGGAGAGGCCTCGGCGGGCGGGGCTCGAGATTGACCAGCGCCCAAGCTCAGGACCCCTGTTTAGTCCTTATATTAGTGGGGCGTGACTAGGTGGGGTGGAGGTCCGGGCGGGCAAAGCCCTAGATTGCTGCGTTTGCCTGTTCAATCCCGATGTCAGTGGGATGTGGTTCTGCTCCAGGGACGGGGCCTAGGTGGACTGAGGTCGGGATGGACAATCACCCCTGCTCAATTTGCCTGTTCTATCTTTATCAGTGGGATGTGGCTCTGCTGGGGGAGGGGGATGGTGGGCGGGGCCTGAGACTGCCGTGTGCCCCGACCCTGCTCCCAGGAAGATCGTGGACCGCATGGACCGCGCCGGGGACGGCGACGGCTGGGTGTCCTTGGCCGAGCTCCGCGCGTGGATCGCGCACACGCAGCAGCGGCACATCCGGGACTCGGTGAGCGCCGCCTGGCACACTTACGACACGGACCGCGATGGACACGTGGGTTGGGAGGAGCTGCGCAATGCCACCTACGGCCATTATGAACCGGGTATGCAAGGCTAGGCCCCTATGCTTGCCTGGTCTGTGCCCTTTGACCCCTCCTTGAGGACCCTCTCATGACAACCCACTGTTTCTTTGCCTTCTTTTTCAAAGGTGTGTCTAGAGGTGTCAGTGTTTGCCTGCATGTGTGTGTGTGCCACACGTGTGCGCCAACCCAGTATTTCCCACCTCACTTCCTCTAACTTGAGGACTCAGTCTGTGCCCATTGTGACTGCAGACTTCAAGTCTCTGACCATTGACAGATACATTCCACGCCTGCTCTTGTTCGCCTTCAATTGCTGTGACCAAGCACTCTGAGCACTACCAACTTGGGGAGGAAAGGGTTTATTTGACTTACATCTCCCGGGTCACAGTTCATCACTGAAGGAGCCCAAGCTAGGAACTCAGGGCAGGAACCTGGAGCTGGAGCACCAGCCATGGAGGAACTCTGCTTACTCACTTGCTCCCCTGGCCAGTGCTCAGCCTGCTTTCTTATGCAACACAGGCCCACCTACCCAGGGGTGGCACCACCCACAGTGGGCTGGGCCCTCCTACATCTCTATAAACAATCAAGAAGATGCCCCAATGACATGGCCACAGGCCAGACCAATGGAGGTAATTCCCCAAATAGGCCCCCTCCACCCACCTGTGTCAAGTTGGCAACTAAAGCTGCCCAGCATAGTGCCCTATTGTTTTTCTTTTCTTTCTCTTTTTTCTTTTTTGGTCTTATTGAGACAGGGTTTCCCTGTAGCCCCAGATGGCCTGGAACTCACTATGTTGACCAGGCTGGACTTGAACTCACAGAGATCCACCTGCCTCTGCCTCCTGAGTGCTGGGATTAAAGGCATGCACCACCACACCCGGCCTGTGATTTTTTTTAAAAATTAACTTACTTGTATGTGTATGAATATTTTAACTGTATGTATGTAAGTGCACCTGTATGTGCAATGACTGTGGAGGCCAGTAGAGGCCATCGAATACCCTGGAACTGCGTTACATGTCCTCATTAGCTGCCATGTGAGTGCTGGGAACCAAACCCTGGTCCTCTGCAAGAGCAGCCAGTGCTCTTAACCACTGAGCCATCTCCCCAAAAACTGTTGTGTTTTTCAGACAGGGGTCTCACTCTGTAAACCAGGCTGGCCTGGAACTCAGAGATCCACATGCCTCTGCCTCCCATGTGCTGGGGTAAAAGGTGTGCATCACCACATCAGGCACAGAGAAAGATTTATCATTCAGGAATGAGAAAGAATGGAAGAACCATTTACCTGCTTTATGTGAGAATTAAATGCAAGACTGAAGGTAAAGAGCTTAGCATCTCATGAGCTGTCAGAACTGGACTATTAATATGTGATATGATTTACTGTGTCATAAACATATTAGAAATTGTATATTCTATATATGTAATTTATTATTCTGTAGTACTAGGGAGTGAACCTAGGGATTCTAGGCGGGGGCTCTACCACTGAGCCACACCCCAACCCCTCACTGAGGGATTCTAGGCAGGGGCTCTACCACTGAGCCACACCCCAGCCCCTCACTGGGGGATTCTAGGCAGGGGCTCTATCACTGAGCTGCATCCTTAGCCTTCTATTTTATTTATTTATTTATTTGTCTTTTTAAAACAGGTTCGCTTTGTAGCCCCAGCTGACCTGGAACTCACTGTGTAGATTGATATCACAGAGGTCCACCTGCCTCTGCCTCTTGTGTTCTGGGATTAAAGGCATGGGCCACTACACCTGGCCTCAGTTCTCTTTTTACTTTACTATTTTGAGACAGTCTTGCTAAATTACTCAGACTTGGGGCTGTAGAGATGCCACAAAGATTGAAAGTACATAGTGCTCTTACAGAGAATTGGAGTTCAATTCCCTGCACCCACATCTAGAAGGAAGATCACACCACCTGTAACTCCCGCTAAGGGGATTCATGCCCTTTTCTGGCCTCTGCAGACACTTGCATACATGTGCGCATGCACACATAAATAAAAAATAAATCTTATATTACCTACCTAGACTGACCTTGAACTTGCCAATTTTCCTGCCTCGGCCTCTTGAGTATCTTGGATGACAATCTGCCACTTTATGACTAATATATATATACATATATATATATATTTTTTTTTTTTTCTCACATTCTGGAAATCTTGCCACTTGATTGTGTCCCTTGACTCTTTCTTAAGTCACCCAGCCTTACCTCTGTGACCTCCTCGAATCTCACCCACAACCTGTGCTACCCCAGGGGAAGAATTTCACGATGTGGAGGATGCAGAGACCTACAAGAAGATGCTGGCTCGGGATGAGCGACGATTCCGGGTGGCCGACCAGGATGGTGACTCAGTGGCCACTCGGGAGGAGCTGACAGCCTTCCTGCATCCCGAGGAGTTCCCTCACATGCGGGACATCGTGATTGCTGTGAGTGAGGTTGGAGGGACCCTGCTTCCCACACTTGTCCTGGGATCAGGCCCTTCCACAGGGAACTCAGGCCACCAATGTAGATCCTGGGACAGCAGCATGCCTGTGTCCACTCCTCCATGCTCAGTGCCTGGTGTCTCCTCGCCACACCTCCCTGTGCTCATTTTGAGTGTCTAGTCCCATCCTGTCCCCCAGGCAGTCACATCCTAAGAAAGCCTCAGGTGAACCCCAGTTCTGGCCGAACCCAGGAAAACATGATTTATTTGAAATGCAAGCTTAATATCCTGTAATGTATGTTCCATATATTGGGTAGAACATATTGTGCAGAGGCATGTTGTGTGTACAGGTGCCTGCGGAGTCCAGAGGTCAGTCTCAAGTGTCATTCCTCAGGAGCTATCACCTGGTTTTGCTTTAGGATTTTTTTTTTTTTTTTTTTTTGCAGGGGGAGTTGGAGAGAGGGCTCAGTGGTTAGAGCACTGACTGCTCTTGCAGAGGACCTGGATTTGGTTCCCAGTGCCCACATCATGACTGTAACTGCAGTTCCGGGGGATCTGACACCCTCTTCTGGCCTCCCTGGGCATTGTATACATGTGGTACACTTATATGCAGGCAAAACACTCATACTCATAAAATAAAAATAAAATTTTAAGAAATTAAAAAGATTTAGCCAGGCAGGGGGCTGGAGAGTTGGCTCAGCAGTTAAGAACACTGACTGTTCTTGCAGAAGACCCAGGTTTGAATCCCAGCACCCACATGGCAGCTAACAATTGTCCGTAACTCCAGTTCCAGGGATCAGTCAGCCTCTTCTGTCTTCCAAGGGCATTGCATGACATGGGTGCACTTACCTACATGCAGGCAATACACGCATACACATAAAATAAAAATAATAAATAAAATATTTTTTTAAAAAAAGGATGCGGGGCGTGGTGGCACATGCCTTTAATCCCAGCACTCGGGAGGCAGAGGCAGGTGGATCTCTGTGAGTTCAAGGCCAGCCTGGTCTACATAGTGAGTTCCAGGACAGCTGGGGCTACAGGGAGACCCTGTCTCAAAAAAGACTAAAAAAAAAACATTTAGCCAGGTGTGGTGGCGCATGCCTTTAATCCCAGGACTCAGGAGGCAGAGACAGGCAGATCTCTGTGAGTTTGAGGCCAGCCTGGTCTACATAGCAAGTTCCAACAAGCCAGCTGGGGCTACAGGGAGACCCTGTCTCAAAAAGACAAAAGAAAAAGGGCGAGGGCAAGGCCTGGAGAGATGGGTCATTAAGAGCACTGACTGCTCTTGCAGAGTACTCAGGTTTGAGTCCCAGCACCCACATGGCAGCTAACAACTGTCCATAACTCCAGTTCCAGGGGAATCCAAAGCCCTCTTCTGAATTCCTCGGCATTGCATGGCACAGGCTCACTCACATACATGCAGGCAATACACTTGTACACATAAAATAAAAATAAATAAAATATTTTTTAAAAAGATTTAAAATTTTTGATATGTATGTATGTGTGTCTGTAGGTATATATGTGCACCATGACTGTGCAGGTACCCAGAGGGACCAGAGCCAGGGTGTTGGATACTCTGGAACTGGAGTTACAGGTAGCTGTGAGCTGCCATGTTGGTGCTAGAAACTGAACTTGAGTTCTCTGCAAGAGTAGCAAGTGCTCTTAACCACTGAGCCATCTCTCTAACCTCCCCACCTTGCGTTTTTAAAAAAGATTTATATTTAATTTAATTTAATTTATTTTATTTTTTTCCTGAGACAGGGTCTCCCTATAGCTCCAGTTGACCTAGAATTTACTATGTAGACTAGCTTGGATTTGATCTCACAGAGATCTGCCTGCCTCTGCCTCCCAAGTGCTGGGATTAAAGGTGTGCACCACCATACCTAGCAAAGATTTATTATTTATTTATTTTTATTTATTTATTTATTTATTTATTTCTGCATGCATATAAGTTTACCCCTGTCATGTAGTGCCTGTGGAGGTCAGAAGAGGGTGTCAAATCCCCTGGAACTGAGGGTCTCCCTGTAGCCCCAGCTGGCCTGGAACTCTTTATGTGGACCAGGCTGACTTTGAACTGTGCCTCCCAAGTGCTGGGACTAAAGGTGTGCGCCACCACGCCCTGCTTGCCTGTACCATCTTATACTGAATGAGTTTGACTTTAACATTTGGGAACATAAGCTGTCCTTTTAAATTTTTAATTAATTAATTAATTTTTATTTTATGTGTATGAGTGTTATACCTGCATGTAGGTAAGTGCACCCGTGTCATGGAATGCCCACGGAGGACAGAAGAGGGTGTCAGATCCCCTGGAATTGGAGTTATGGATGGTTGTTAGCCGCTGAGTGGGTACTGGGATTCAAACCCTGGTCTTCTGCAGCAAGAGCAGCCAGTGCTCTAACCACTGAGACACCTCTGAAGCCCAGAAGCCATTTCTTTCAAGTAGTGAGATAAAAGGAAACGTAAGCCAGGTGTGGTGGCGCACACCTGTAGTCCCAGCACTTGGGAGGCAGAGGCAGGTAGATCTCTGTGAGTTTAAGGCCAGCCTGGTCTACATAGTGAGTTCCAGTACAGCTGGGCTACAGGTAGACTCTGCTTCAAAAAGACAAAAAAAAAAAAAAAAATGGAAAGGTAGATGTGTCATGTGTGTTTACATAGAATGGCCCATAGCCAGTATGGTGGGCCATGCCTATGATCCCAGCATTTAGGGAGGTGGAGACAGGATGCTCTGGAGTTCAAGGCCATCCTCAGCTATATGGCCAGTTTAAAGTCAGCCTTGGTTACAAGAGACCCTGTCTCAAAACAACACAAAGCAAAACAAGAAGAAAAGAAAATGGGTGTACTTTATGAAGCTGGGCTCTGCAGGTGGCAGACAGCTCTGTTGCCAAGAAAGGGCTGGAGCATGGGACACTTGCTAGGGATGCGGCTCCCTCACCTCATGTGGCACAAGCCTGGGCGTGGCTGGACCCTGGGGTTTCCTGGCTGTCAGGAGTAGACACAAGTGGCGGCTGTGTGTCATCACACCCAAAGTTCCTGCATTTCCTCTTCATAGAGAGTGCTCCAGTGCAGGGCCACCCCCACGGTTGAATTCCCTGAGAAAACCCCCCAGCCCAACCTCTCCCAAAAGCCAAGGGTCCTGATCCTCCATCCCAATGCCTCCCCCCCCCTCCCGCAGGAAACCCTGGAGGATCTGGACAAGAATAAAGACGGCTATGTCCAGGTGGAGGAGTACATCGGTGAGCCAGACCCGTCCCGCCTAATGCCTCTCATCTCTTGGCATCATGAGACATCTCCTGACCCCTCATGCATTCATTCCTCTGTGTTTACTGAGCTCTCACTGTATGCAGGACCTACTACATGTCTAGCCAGGAAGCATTCATTTGACACCTACTGTATATTGTGGGTTGAGGGTACAGCAAAGCTATCAGAGACAAGATCCATTCTCAGGACAGTCTGGGGTTTCTAAAACCAGGGCTCAGGGGCTGTGGCCCTTGGACTATGGATCTTGTCCCATGACAAACACTGTGTCTCCCCCAGTTATCCTGTTTGGGGATATTTCAGGTGTCCCAACCCCCAAATTTGATACCGGCCTCCACCCTCCCTGACCTGGGTGTCAAACACTTTAGTCCAGGGTAGTGTTATTAAGCACAAAAGTTGTTCATTTTTTAAATTTTTTGAGATCGGGGTCTCACGTAACCCAGGCTGGCCTCAAATTTGCTGTGTGCAGTGAGGATCCTCCTGCCTCTGCCTCCAGAGGGCTGGGCTTATAGATATGCCCTGCCCAACTCAGCAAAGTACCAGATGCAATGCTGGGGACCAAACCCAGGGATCTGTGTCTGCTGGACAAGCATTTGCCAAGTGAGCCACATTCCAGCCCCCAAACATAGCATTTTTTTAGTTTGATAATATTTATATTTTCTGCAAAAAAACTTGCAGGGAAGACAATTTTGCTAAAGCATCAAGTGTTTGTAACATTTGTAAGGAAGGAAGGCCATGGTGTTTTGTTTTGTTTTTTCTTATTCCTTTTATTCCCCAAACTTTGGGGGGTGGGTGATGGAGGAGAGGAGCATGGGGTATGGGTCTCAGGTCTGACCTGCCTATCCCTCCATCCCTGCCAGCGGACCTGTATTCTGAGGAGCCTGGGGAGGAGGAGCCGGCCTGGGTGCAGACCGAGCGCCAGCAGTTCCGGGACTTCCGAGACCTGAACAAGGATGGGCGGCTGGATGGCAGTGAAGTCGGCCACTGGGTGCTGCCCCCATCCCAGGACCAGCCCCTGGTGGAGGCCAACCACCTACTGCACGAGAGTGACACAGACAAAGTGAGCCTAGACTGCGGCAGGAGCTCAGGAGGGTGCTGGGACAGGGGGAAGGAAGAGGGGCAGGGTCCCAGACAGAGACAGAGACCAGAGAGAGACAGAGTCCCAGAGAGAGACAGAGACCAGAAAGAGACAGAGACCAGAGAGAGAGACAGAGACCAGAGAGAGACAGAGACCCAGAGAGAGAGTCCCAGAGAGAGACAGAGACCAGAGAGAGAGACAGAGACCCGAGCAAGACAGACCAGAGACAGAGACCAGAGAGAGAGAGACCAGAGACAGAGTCCCAGAGAGAGACAGAGACCCAGAGAGAGAGACAGAGACCCGAGCAAGACAGACCAGAGACAGAGACCAGAGAGAGACAGAGTCCCAGAGAGAGACAGAGACCAGAGAGAGAGACAGAGACCAGAGAGAGACAGAGATCAGACAGAGACAGAGACCAGAGAGAGACAGAGACCCAGAGAGAGACACAGACCCAGAGAGAGGGGGACAGAGACCTAGAGAGGGGCAAAGAAAGAGACCAGAGAGGACAGGCCTGCAGGGTAAGAGCAGGACAGTGAAGGCCACTGTGGCATCACTGTGGTGAGTGGGTGGTACCCCAGCTGTGTCTGACCTCTAACCCTGCTCCCAGGACGGCCGTCTGAGCAAAGCCGAGATCCTCCACAACTGGAACATGTTTGTGGGCAGCCAGGCCACCAACTATGGAGAGGACCTGACCAGACACCATGATGAGCTCTGAGCCCTGAGACTGCTCAACCGTGACACCATAGGAGGGACAGCTGCAGCCAGCCCCTCCCTGCAGGGCACAGCCCCAGTGTCTCCAGCTCCTGGGCTTTCAGGGACCCACTCAGACTTCTCTCCCTGAGACCCCTCTGCCCCCACCCTGAGGCCACAACCTGCCCAAGACACTCTCAGGCCTCCAAAGGACAGGTGATCCCCATTCTCATTGGTACCGTCTACCAGCTCAGACCCAGGAACCCTCACTTCAGCCCTATCCCTCAATCTGAGCCTCAATCACCCAGATGCCCTGCACTGCCCTGCCAGGGAGCAATAAAAGCCATTTTGGGGGCACCCTGGTTCAGTGTGTCTTTGAGGGGAGAAGGGGACTATGTCTGGGGAGGAGCCTGGTGGGAGCTGGGTGCTGAGGCTTGCAGGAGGGATCATGGCTCTGGGACATGGGAAATGGGTGTTGGCAGGCGGTTTGCGGGGGCGTTCCTGGAGATCAAGAAAAAAACTAGCAGCTTATAAACTGCATAGTGAAGCCAGGCAGGAAGCCCCGCCTGCCCTCAAGGGCTCCATTTGAAGGGGAAGCCGAAAACCGCAGTCAGTACCCAGAACCTCAGTTCGCAGCATGAAGAGCATCTACAAAGATGCATAAGTCACTTTCGCCAGGTTCTGGGAAAGGGCCGAGGGGTAAGCAGGCAGAGGTGAGGGTCTGGGGTGTCAGCCAGAGTTAGCTAAAAAGAGGAGGGGCTGGGCATGGTGTGACCCACCTGCAATACCACGACACAGTCTGGGGTAGGATGATGGCTGAGAGTTAGGGGCCAGCCTGTGCTACAGAATGAGACTCAGTCTCAAAATATAAAATAAGGGCTGGAAGCCGGGCATGGTCGCACACGCCTTTAATCCCAGCACTCGGGAGGCAGAGGCAGGCAGATCTCTGTGAGTTCAAGGCCAGCCTGGAGATAGATACCTGAGTGCTTCCAAGCATGAATGCTTGTCCCCTGGACGCAAGTTCAGTTCCCAGCACCCGTGTTAGGCAAGTCACAGCTGCCTGTAACTCCAGGGACTCTGATGCCCTCTTCTGGCCTCAGTGGGTATTTCACTTGTGCACATATGCATACATGTACACATAATTAAAAATAAAATGCAAATACAATACCCGTGTATGAGATTCTCAAAAAAATAAAATAAATTTAAAAAATAGGGCTGGAGAAATGGCTCAGCGGTTAAGAGCACTGGCTGCTCTTCCAGAGGACCTGGGTTCAGTTTTCAGCACCCACATGGTGGCGGACAACTGTCCATAAACTCCAGTTCCAGGGGATTCGACTTCCTCTTCTGACCTCCTTTGGCATTGCACGACACAGGTGCCCTTACATACAAGCAGGCAATACACTCATACATAATGAATAAAAATATTTTTAAAGGAGGAGGGTAAAGCTCGGATGGTAAAGATTCTGGCTGTAATGATCTGAGATTCCACTGATCCCCAGAACCCACGTGGCAGGAGGGAACCGACTCCCATGAGCTATCCACTGACCTCCACATGTGCACTGTGGCACGATGGGCCTCCATCCACAAAATAAATAGACAGAATTTTTTTTTCATTTTTTTATTGCATATATAAAAATATAAGGCCATTTTTAAGAGGCCCATAGAAAAGCCATCCACAAGGACTCCAAATTGGAAAACACCCAAGTGCTAATCTGAAGAAGATGCATCGTGTGAACTTCATGGAGAGGGGGAGCGAGGGGACTCTCCGCAGGGTTGGTTCAGGCTGCAGGGTTTCCAGAGCAGGAAAAACTAGTTAGCAAGGGGAGACGGGCGCCCGCGCCCTCTTCTGGCCGCAGGTGGGAGCGCGCCGAAGCGTCTGTGCTCTTGGAGCAGGGCCTGCTTGGGGGAGGGGTGTCGCCCTGTGGAATTCAGCCAGCTGCCCACGCAGGACACGTGTTCACGAATGCAGGATAGACTTCAGTGCAGTTTATCTCTCTGTTCATTTTTATTTTTAATTATGCTGGGTGTGCACATGGAGGTCAGAGGACAACTTGCAGGAGCTGGTTCCAGGAACTGAATAATTTATTTTTGTTTTATTTCACGTGTATGAGTTCTGCTGAGCCATCGCTCCCTGAATATTTTTTAAATTAATTTTTAAAGTTAGTATTCAAAATAAAGGATTTTATTATAGCACTTGGGAGGGGTGGTACCAGGGATGAGACCTAAGGCCTGAGCTCTCTACCACTGAGTCACACCCCCAGCCCCTCACTGGGGGATCCTAGGCAGGGGCTCTACCCCTGAGCCACACCCCAGCTCCTCACTGGGGGATCCTAGGCAGGGGCTCTACCACTGAGACACACCCCAGCCCCTCACTGGTGGGTCCTAGGCAGGGGCTCTACCTCTGAGTCAGGCCTCACCTTGATTATACTTATAGCAACTCTCCAGTCTGTTAGATTCTTCTGAGTAAACCTTTTTTTTCTAAGCTGCTTATTGACCTATGGCTCTCAAATGGAATCCTGTCAGTTCTGCCTGTCCTGTGAAATCTGTAGCTTGAGTCCTTACTGGGCTTCTTGGGGTGAACCCCACCCCCAAAACACACACCAGGTTCAGCTAGGTATCTGACCACAGTGTCTCAGGCCTCGCCTGAGCACCTCCATAGCTTCCCTCCAGGCCTAATCTCCCTCTCTTGCTGTGATTCTTTAGTTTGGCCTCGAACTCGAAGTAATCCTCCTGCCCCAGTTTCCCAGGTGCTGGGATGACAGGTGTGCATGATCAGACCTGGCTTAGATTTCCACTGACATTCCGCAGCCACTCCTGACAGGGCTGGACAGGGTAAAACCTGCTCACCAGAAATTCTCCCAGTCCCTTTCCGTTTTCTGAATGCTGCTGGGCCTCCAATTTTCCCCAGAGTTTGGTCTTTCCAGTGACTCTAAAGTAACTTCTCTATTTTTGGTGCACGTGTGAATGTGTTTGTGTGTGTGCATGTGTTTGTGCATGTGTGGTCAACGTTGGGTGTCTTCCTCAATTGCTCTCAGTGACCCTGGAGCTCACCCACTGGATAGACCACCTGGCCTATAAGTCTCCTGACTCTGCCTCCCAGTGCTGGGACGACAGGATTACAGGCACCTGGCTTTTTTATTTGAGTGATGGAGATCGGCATTCAGGCCCTTGACTAGTGCAGGAAGCACTTTACCAACTCAGCGGTCCCCAGCTCCAACCTCTCTGTTTTCACCAGAGTTTATCTTTGTTTATTGGGAGAGCGCTGGAGTTTGAATCCAAATGTATCCGATTCCAGCCTTCCAATGGTGGGTCTAGCCTGCCCCCTGGTGGCTGCATATAGGAACTGGTTCACTGGCCAAAGGGGGCAACTTTGTAAATCCTTGCGAGCTTCCTGATTGACAGTATCTCATCTCAAATAACACACAATGCAGCAAATTACTTGCACAGAAAAGTTTATGATGGGCCTGGTGTGGTGTTGCATGCTGGTAACTGAGGAAGCTGGGAGGCCAGAGCAGGAGGATTAGAAGTTCAAGGTCATCCTCAGCTACAGAGGGCCAGCCTGGGCTACATGAGACTCTGAAAAATAAAAAGCTTATAATGAGCTTATAATGAGCCCGATGTGGTGGTGTACACCCTCAATTCAGGGAAATCGGAGACAGGGACAGGTGGATCTGTGAGTTACAGGCCAGCCTGGTCTATGTATCAAATTCCTGGTCAGCTATGGCTACACAGTGAAAGCCTGTCTCCAAAAATTCTTACTGAGTCCCCCTTCCCCCAATCTTTCCAACGCTTTATAAAAAAAATACAAAAAATCTAGAGTCTCAGGGTCTGGAGAGATGGCTCAGCAGGTAAGAGTGCTTCCCACAAGACCACCGACATCATGTGGCTCACAATCCCCTGTAATTCCAGTTCCAGGGGATCTGACACCGTTTTCTGTCTACAGGCAACTGCATTCATATGCACATACCCATAGACACACAAGTACATATAGTTAAAAAATAATATTTAAGGGCTGTAGAGATGGCTCAGCGGTTAAGAGCACTGGCTCTTAAGAGGACTTGGGTTCAGTTCCCCATACCCACGAGGTGGCTAACAATCCTGTGACTCCAGCGCCAGGGGATTTGATGCCCTCTTCTGGCCCCCCTGGGCATTGCATGCACGGCTGGACTAACATGCAGGCAAAACATTCATACACATAAAATAAAATTTAAATTAAAAAATGGGGAGTATTGGAGCTGGAGGGATGGCTCAGCAGTTAAAAACACTTGCCGGGCATGGTGGCGCACACCTTTAATCCCAGCACTTGGGAGGCAGAGGAAGGTGGATCTTTGTGAGTTTGAGGCCAGCCTCATCTACATAGTGAGTTCCAGGACAGCTGGGACTACAGGGAGACCCTGTCTCAAAAAGACCAAAAAAAAAAAGAACAAAAAAAAAAAAAAGGGGGGGATTTAAAAAGGGGTAGATAGGGGGGGGGGTTTAAAAAAAAAAAAAAAAAAAAAAAAAAAAAAAAAAAAAAAACGGAGAGTATTAAGAAGGGTATAGATAGGGGAGGGGATCTAAACACAATAAAAATATTGCATGAAACTCGCAAAAATTCAATTTTAAAAAGTCAGAAAAGAGTATCTTTTTGGGGGGGTCTTTTTGAGACAGAGTCTCAAAAAAAGGTGTGTGACAACACACCTGGCAAAGAGTATTATCTTAAAAAAATTAGGGTCTGGAGCTGTGTGCGGTGGCGCACACCTTTAATCCCAGCACTTGGGAGCAGAGGCAGGTGGATCTCTGTGAGTTCAAGGCCAGCCTGGTCTACATAGTTAGTTCCAGGTCAGCTGGGGCCACAGGGAGACCCTGTCCCCAAAAAACAAAACAAAACAAAGTGCTGGAGAGATGGGTCAGCAGTTAAGAGCACTAACTGCTCTTGCAGAGGACCTGGGTTTGATTCCCAGCACCTACATGGTGGGTAACACCCATCCCATAACTCCAGTTCTAAGGGATCCGATGCCTTCTTCTGACCTCTTCCTTCAGGCATTGCACCGACATGGGTGCACTTATATACATGTAGGCAATACACTCATACACATAAAAATAATTTTAAAAAACAGGGGCTGGGGAGATGGCTCAGTGGTTAAGAGCACTGGCTGCTCTTGTAGAGGACCTGGGTTTGATTCCCAGCACCCACATGGAGGCTATGAACCATCCTTAACTCCAGTTCCAGGGGAATCCAAAGCTCTCTTCTGACCTCCGTGGTATTGCATGACACGGGTGAACTCACATACATACAGGCAATACACTCATACACATAAAGTAAAAATATTTTTAAAAATTAAAAAATTAAAAACAAAAATTAGGGTCTCCAAGGAATCTTTATCCAGACTTAAATGTGTACAAATGGTCCTTTTTAAAAATTTAATTTTTGCAATTATACAATATAGCTTGGTAGTATTAGATTCACCCCCCTATCTGCATCCCTCCCCTTTAAGACAAGAGTCTCAATGGGTAGCTCTGGCTGGCCTGGAACTCACTTGTCTCTGCCTCCCAAGTACTGGGATTAAAGATCACACCAGACCAGTTTATTTATTTTTAAATTTTATTTATTTTTGTCTTTTTGAGACAGGGTCTCCCTGTAGCCCCAGCTGTCCTGGAACTCACTATGTAGACCAGGCTGGCCTCAAACTTACAAAGATCCACCTGCCTCTGCCTCCCAAGTGCTGAGATTAAAGGCGTGCACCACTATGCCTGGCCTTATTTATTTATTTATTTATTTATTTATTTTTATTTATTTATGTCGATGAGTGTTTTACCTGCATGCATGTAAGGGCACCCATGTTGTGCAATGCATGTGGAGGTCAGAAGATTCCCCTGGAACTGGAGTTACAGATGGTTGTTCGCCATCATGTGGGTGTTGGGAACTGAACCTAGGTCCTCTCAAAGAGCAGCTAGTGCTCTTCACTGCCAAGCCATCTCTTCAGCCCTACTGCTACCTTATTTTTTGAGACAGGAACCATGTAGCTTGGCTAGGGTGCTAGACAGCCCCAATGATCAACTTGACAGGCGTGCATAGAGGAATTCTCAATGGGGGAATTTCCTCCATTGACCTGGTCTGCCCACGTCTGTGGAGTGTTTCCTTGATTGTGGAGTGATATGGGAGGGCCCAGCCCACTGTGAGGAGTCCACCCCTGCAGGTAGGCTTGGGTTGTGTAAGAAAGCTGAAAAAAACCAAGTAGGCCAAAACAGCCACTGCTTCAGCTTCCTGCCCTGGCTTCCCTCAGTGATGAACCCTGATAGGAATGTGTAAGCCAAATAAACCCTTTTCTCCCCAAGTTGGTTTTGGTCCTCTGCCTCCAGAGTGTGGATTAAAGGCTGGCCTGCTGGCTAGGCCCATCCACTTTACTTCTGAAACTGGGTCTCCCGAGCCTCTTACTGACCTGGGGCTCACTTACCCAACTAAGCCGGCTGCCAAGTGAGCCCCAAAGAGACCTCATGCCCTTTTTTTTTTTTTTTTTAACTTGGTTGCTGGGCCAGGAACTCCGGTCCTCTGGCTTGCTGAGCAAGCTCCCTACCCACAAACCATCTCATAGCCAAAAAAAGGGGCTGTTTTCCAGGAAACAAATCTGAAGAAAACTTTCTAAGTGTTGGCTCAGTCTGCAGTCTCGGCACTAGGGAGATGGAGGCAGGAGGACCAGGAGGTCAAGGATATCCTCAACTACAGTAGGCCAGCCTGAACTACAGGAAACGTGTCTCAAAAAACAAGATAGGGGCTGGGAGATGGCTCAGCCGTTAAGAGCACTGACTGCTCCTGCAGAGGACCCAGGTCGAATCCCAGCACCCACATGGTGGCTACGAATGGAACGGTCCTTAACTCCAATTCCAGGGGAATCCAAAGCCCTCTTCTGACCTCCGAGGCATTGCAGGAGCACTCACATACAGGCCGGCAATACATGCATACACATAAAATAAAAAACCAGAAACAACAACAACAAAAAAACCCAAAAACAATATCCCCCAAACCAACCAAGGCTTTGAGCTGTGGGCGTGGCTCAGCAGCAGCCTTACCTAAGGTTCCCAGGACCCTGGGTTCGAACCCCAGCACAACAAATACTCCAGAAGAGTTTGAAGAGACCCCACCCACCCCAGCCATGCCTGACCCACCCACTGCCCAGCCTCACCCTCCAGCCTTGCCAGCAAGCTCCCGACCTCTGGGTCCTGTTCTTTTACCTTCCACAGGTTGGGTATGGGGGAGGGCCAGCTTCTGACCACATGGCGGGTACTGCAGGCTCTCTGCTATGTCTTTCCCTTTAGGTGTGCTCCTGAATGCCCTTCTCAGGAGCTTCTCACCTGCCTGAGTGTGTGGTGTATGTGACAGGATTGGTGGGGTTCCGGTTGGGCCCACCCACGTGGTGCCCCCTCCAGGCTCACCTTGCTGAGCCTGGACCAATTGGCTGTGTGTGGTTCAAGTTTTCCTCCAAACAGGAGATGGAGCCCACTGCTGTACCCACTCTTTCTTCTTTGGGACAGGGTGTTCCACTGTAGCCCAGGAGGGCCACAAACTCACCCATCCACCTGCCTCAGTCTTCCAAGTGCTAGGATTACAGAGATGCCCTGCCATGCCGGTGGCCCATTTTTCTAACGGGGAGATTTGATGGCGGGGCTCAGCATCCGGCAGGGCCCGAATTCTCCGGGTCCAGGAACCCCCTCCGCAAAGAGGCACCACACGTAGTTCACACACAGCCTGTTTATTAGGTCACAGCTCAGGCCTGCATCACGGGCCGTGACATCTCTGCCTGCAGCTTGACTCCAGAGCCCGCGAAGCCTGTGCCACCCTGGAGAAGTAGGGAGAGAAGTGAGCTGGAGGAGCCAGGGAGAGGCGCGGGCGGGGGGGCTCCCCCAAGGTGGTAAGGGCCGTTCCTATGTGGAGTGGGAAGAAATGGGATGCAGGGCAGGAGAGCTGGGGGATCCCTGGGGGAAGAAGCAGGAGACAGGGCAGGTGTGTGGGGGGGGGTCGCTAAAGAAGGGATGGAGTCCCGGGAGGGAGGGGTGTGTAGGAAAATCGGGCGGGGCATCAGAAACCCCCCCACCCCACCACCCCTGCAAGTAGCTGTGAAGGCTGAGTGGGTGGGACAGGGAGCTGTGGGGGGGGGGCCGGGGGGGCGGGGGCAAGGGCAAGCATGGGGCAGCACCGGCAGCTGGGGCGCCTGGCAGGCTGTGGGGTGCAGGCAGCTCACCCTCTGCAGTACGATGATGTCCCGCTCCGTGAGTGTGTCTCCATTCACCGGGTCCACCATGTCCTTCCGGATCAGCTTCTCCACGCACTCCAGGGTAACCACGGCGCCGCTGCGGTGGAGACAAGTGGAGGGGTCAGCCAGACATCCCCCTGTCTCCCCCTCGGTATCCTCCTCTGCCCCTTGCCCCCCTCCTGGGACTCACGAGGGCCGCAGCACGGCGCAGGGCGTGGCATTGCTCAGGCTGTCTCGGGTCACAGCGCACACGTAGCGTTCGCTGCGAGTGATGAGCCCCACCCGGTCCACGGAGTCGTCCAGCTGCGTGAAGCGCACTGGCGTCAGGTCCGACATGCGCAGCGGCTTCCCAGACATGGGGCAGGTCACGGTGCGTGACTGTGGACAGACAGGGTCGGCAGGGTCAACAGGGCCACAGGAGTGGGGCGAGCAGGGTGAGCAGGGTGAGGATTGAGGGCCGGTGGGAGCAGATCAGCAGAGAAGGCAGGGCTAAGAGGGTGGGGCACCCAGAGCTCACCGGTTTCTCCAGCTTGGTGGCCTTGGCCTCGGGTGTCAGCGATGGGATCCAGAAGCTGGGCAGTGCTTTATCCTTGTCCTTGGCTGGGGGCCCTGCACTGGGCCCTGGCTGCTCACCATCTGTGGGAGGAAGGGGCTGGCTATGATGCACACTTCAGAAACCTATGGCCCAGGGACCCCTGACCAAGGGCAGGCTGCTCTGTCACCTGCACCAGGCAAGGTGGTGGCCTTGGGCGTGAAGGGGTTGAGGGGCCGGCTGACAATGGCCGCCTCCTTCTCCAGGAAGCCCCGCACTTGGTCCTGGGCAGCGGCCTGCTGCAGCTGTTTCTGCTCCTCTCTGCGGGCTCCACGCTGCTTCTCGTAGGCCTGGGGAGAGGCAGGACAGCTACTCAGTATCCTGGGGTTCACCCTAGGGCAGTTATCTGGGGATGGAGGCTGACCAAGTCCTCCCATCCACCCCAAGACTGCCTGGCACCCTCTGAGGTGGCCTCCAGCATTGCAGTGTCCTGCCCCACTTCTGTTGACACAGGTTCTTATCTAGCCCAGGCTGGCCTCAAACTTGCTTTGCAGCCAAGGATGACCCTGAACTCCTGATCCTGCTGCATCCACCTGCCAAGTGCTGGGATGACAGGCATGAACTACCAATCCCAAGCTACAGAGTGCTGGGGATGGAACCCAGCCTTGCTAGGCAGGCATTCTACCAACCAAGTCACATCCTCAGTCCCAAGGTGAAGTTTTCTTTTTTTTTTTTTAAAGATTTATTTTGCAGGGTGTGGTGGCGTATGCCATTAATCCCAGCACTTGGGAGGCAGAGGAAGGCAGATCTCTGTGAATTCAAGGCCAGCCTGGTCTACATAATGAGTTCCAGGAGGGCTGGGGCTACAGAGAATCCGTGTCTCAAAAAAGATCAAAGGAAAAGAAAAAAAAAAAAGATTGGTATTTATTGATTTTTCTTTTTCTTGGTTGTTTTTTGACCTGGTCTCTCTAGTCACAAGCCCACCTGGAAGTCACAATGTGAACCGGGGTGGCCTTGATCTCGCAGAGATCCACCTGCCTCTGCCTCCGGAGGGCTTATTTTTATTGTATGTATGTATATGCAACACATGTGCAATACTCATGGAAGCCAGAAGGGACAGGTCTCCTATAACTGGAGTTACAGTTGTTAGCCACTGTGTGGGTGCTGGGAACCGAACCCAGGTCCTCTGGAAGAGCAGCCAGTGCTCTAACCACTGAACCACCTCTCCTGCTGTCAAGGGGAAGTTTGCAAAAGTGCTTAGAACCTGGTGGTCACATAGCACTCAATAAAGGCTGCCTGTTGGCCAGAGCACCTCTGTGTTGCCACAGGAACCTGACTAAGACCTTCCAGAGCAGGGCTGTGTGTGACAGGAGCAGGTGAGGTTCGGTCCTGCACAGCACCCAGCTGAGGCAATGACAGGGACCATGCCTGGAGCTTCCAACAGGATCACCACAATGAGGAAGAGCGAGGCCGGCCACCAGGCTGTGTGGAGAATGGAGACTGGGAAGTGGGTGCTGAGCCTGCTCGGGCCAGGGTTGGAAGGCAGTGGTTGCAGCATGTGATGTCCTGTGTGATGCCCTGGGTTGCATCCCTCCCACCACAGAACAAAACCCTCAACATGACCCTGACACAGTATTTCTTGAGCACCGAAAGCCTAGCAGTGGAAAGAGGGCCAGACAGGTGCTCCACACACTTGGGGTACACGGGTCCCTCCCAGTCGCTAGAGGGCTGGGCCTGGCTCACAGTAGGCATCTAGAGAAATAGCTGTACGTGTGATGTCTGGGCTTGTCCTCCGCCTGGCAAGCTAGACTGGCAAACCTCATGGACAGAGGCCTCCTTCTCCAGCTGGGACTCACTGGCTTGCTCCATCACCATGAACTTGACGATGGACAGTAGGTAGGAGGGAGGGGCAGAAAGAGTCAGTCATGCGTTCCATCCAATCAGCTTGCCTGAGTGGTGCATGGGAGAGGGACTAAGAATAGGGTGGGGGGGGTGCCTGGAGAGATGGCTCAGCGGTTAAGAACACTGACCGGTCTCACAGAAGACCCGGGTTCGAATCCCAGCACCCACATGGCAGCTAACAACTGTCCATAACTCCAGTCCCAGGGGATCCGACTGCCTCTTCTGATCTCCATGGACACTGCACGACACAGGTGCACTTACCTACATGCAGGCAATACACTCATACACATAAAATAAAAAAAAATAAGCTGGGCGTGGTGGCGCACGCCTGTAGTCCCACTTGGGAGGCAGAGGCAGGCAGATCTCTGTGAGTTCAAGGCCAGCCTGGTCTACAGAGTGAGTTCCAGGACAGCTGGGGCTACAGGGAGACCCTGCTTCAAAAAGACCATTTATTTTTTGTCTTTTTGAACTCACTCCGTAGACCAGGCTGGCCTTGAACTCACAGAGATCCGCCTGCCTCTGCCTCCCGAGTGCTGGAATTAAAGGCGTATGCCACCATGTCCAGCATAAATAAAATATTTTTAAAAAAGAACAGGGCAGGGGAAGCCGGAGAAAGAGTTGCCTTCACTATCTTAGGCAACCACTGGGAGGTCACAGGGTACCTGCCATGATGTAGAAGGGAGCCCATCCGTGCCACACTTGTGTAAGTATCCCCCGCACCCTTCGCTCTGTATTGGAAGCCCAATAAACTCCCATTTCCCAAACTGTAGTTTGGAGAAATTATACCTCGTCAGAAGGATGATGGAAGGAGGAGACTTGAAGCTACACCCATACCTCCCAGAAGTGATTTTAGTGATTTTAGTGACAACGTGTCTCCCACGTGCTCTGTGGTACCCTCTGATTTCACTGTGGTGGCCCATTATACACACAACACTGAGGCCCAGAGACAGGTAATGTCCACGGACGTCACAAGCCTCTGCCAAGTACCTAGACCCTGTGTGTGGGAGGGTGTCTGTTCCTGCAGTCTAGTGTACGAAGACACACAGCTGTGAACGGGTGAGGAGGACCCCTGTGGCCTTGCGCCTACAGGTCAGCACTGATGCTGCCTGGGCTGAGATCTGAGTGATAGGGGATGGTGCTCCGGGCAGAGAGACCAGCACCAGTGCAGACCCCCAGAGGACAGGAGTTGAGATGAGACACTGCCCAGCTCCCCCTTTTCCCAGGTGCCCCCCTCCCCCACCTTCATCTGTCGGGCGATCTCTTTCTTCTGGTGTAGGATGTACTCCAGGATTGCCTCCCGCTCATACAGGTAGCCATCTGGGCTGCAGAGATTAGGAAAAGAATGGGCCTGGGCTCAACTGCAGGGCTGGCATCCACCCATTCCCCATCCTGGGGACCACTGGGCATCCTTAGATGGTATCATACACAGTGCATCCCTCAATTCTTTGAGGTGGATTTTTTCTTTTTTGTGTGTGTGGTCTTTTTGAGACAGGAGCTCCCTGTGGCCCCAGCTGGCCTGGAACTCACTATGTAGACCAGGCTGGCCTTGAACTCACAGAGATCCGCCTGCTTCTACATCCCAAGTGCTGGGATTAAAGGCCTGCGCCACCACACCCAGCAAGGTGGATTTCTTTTTTAAGTGAGACATGGTCTGCCGCTCAGGTTAACTTCAAACTATGTCCCCAAGGCTGGCCTTGAACTCCCAGTCCTCATGCCTGCATCTCTTGAGTACTGAGGTAACAGGTATGCACCACCGTGCCTGGTCTATGTGGTACTAGGATGAACTTGGGGCTTCCTGTGTGCTAAGCAAGCACTCTATCTACTGAGCCCCAAGATCAGCTACACCCAATGTACTCCTCCACTTGGGATAGGAGGGGCTGCTCTGTCGGGGGTGGGGTGGGGTGGGGGAGGCTGAGGCTCTATGAAGTTCAACAACAGACACACACACCTTTGCTGTCCCTTAGTTTGAGTTGTAACCCTAAGCCCCTAACCCCATCCCCAGCTCACGTGACCACAGGATCATGGCAGGGCTGCAGAGAGAGACAGCAGCAGTCAAAGTCCTTCACAGCATCCCGGCTTAGTCGAATGTTCTGGGTCCCATAGCCTGAGGCCGCTGGGGACAGAGGTGATGGAGAGATGAGGGGCATGCCCTTCACCAAGTCCCTGAGACAGTGTGGGGGGGCATGCGGGATTCCCCCCTTTTCTGGGGTGAGAACCACCAAGGCTCTCAGCATCCCTTCTAACAGGGGTCATTCCTAGGAATGGCTGAGAGGTGGGAACAGACACAGCAGGCAGGCATTCCCGTGCCTGCAGGTGCTGGAACACATGGCCATATTGTGTAAGGCCACCACCATTAGTATATACTAGGGCAGGGACAGACCACATCAGGGTGGAACAGGACACACAGATGGGTGGCCACAAGGAGGGCCAGAGGTGCAGGGTGAGATTTGCACCAGCTCCAAACCTGTGTCCTTCTTCTTCTCGTGGTAGGTGTAGACAGCCCCCGCAGTGCAATTCTTGCCGTGTCGCGTCATCCTGGGGAGAGGAAGGGGATGTGGCAGCTGGGGTGACCCCAGGACACACAGGGACGGTTCTGATGGCCCTTAGGACTTTCCCTCAGGTTGGAAAGCAGGGACAGGGACACACCATGGGAGTGTTGTCTGCAGGGCTCCCCTAAACAGCCTTCTACCACAGAAGTACGGGAGAGTAAAGGGGGCGCCAAGCAGTGCCTTGTTGCTTCTTACTTTTATGTAGCCCCAGCTGGCCTGGAACTCAGTCTCACAGAGATCCACCTGCCTCTGCCTTTTGGGGGGTTCAAAGGTATGTGCCACCACGCCCCACCCCACCCCCTTTGGTTTTTGGTACAGGGTCCCTGTTCCAGCTCCAGGCCTGGACTCATGGCCATCCTCCTGCCGCAGCCTCCCAAGTAGCTGGATGACAGGCTGATACAGACAAGCCTGGTTGTTACTTATGCTTTTGATGGTGTGGCTAAGAAAATGCTCCCTAATGGAGATGTTGTAGATTTAACCCCATCACCTAATTCTCTTTGGACTCTGTAGTTAGCTTTGGTATTTATTTTATATTTTGGTCTGTACTTATGGGTCCATTTTGAGTTAACTTTTGTATCTGAGTTGAAGTAGGGAATTCATTTCTCCCACTTTGGGTGTGTTTTGTTTTATTATGTATGGGTGTTTACTTGCATGTATGTATATGCACCACATGCATGCAGTGCCTACTGAGGTCAGAAAAGGGCACCAGATCCCCTGGAACTGGAGCAGACAGCTGTTAGTCACCACATGGTGCAAGCAAAACACCCATACACATTAAAAAAAAATTTTTTAGAAAGGGCTGGAGAGATGGCTCAGGGGTTAAGAGCGTTGGCTGCTCTTGTAGAGGACCTGGGTTCGATTCCTGGCACCCAACATGGCAGCTAACAACCGTCCTTAACTCCAGTTCCAGGAGATCTGACACTTTTCTGTCCTCCACAGGCACTGCATGACACTCGCTTACACACATGCAGGCAATACACTCATACACATAAAATAAAAATAAATAAAAAAAAAACAATACAGAGGGTTGGAGATGTAGAGCGGAGTGGCCTGGTGTGAACAGGCCTTCGGTACAATGCCCAGTACTGCAAGAGGGGAAGAGAAAACTGTTACTCCCACCTCTCCAGCAGGATGTTCTGGCTATAATCCCAGTCTGCTGGCGGCTGAGGCAGGAGGATCCCAAGTTCAAGGCCAGCCTGGGCAACTTAATCAGACCCTATCTTGAAAAGCAAAAATCGGGGCTGGAGAAGGGCTCAGAGGTAAGAGCACCGGCTGCTCTTGCAGAGGACCAGGGTTCAGTTCCCAGCACCCACATGGCAGCTTACACCCATCTGTAACTTCAGTTCCAGTGGATCTGGCAGCCTCTTCTGACCTCTGTGGGCACTGCACAAGACGGGTGCACTTACCTATGTGCAGTCATAACACTCATACACATAAAATTAAAAAATTTAAAAATGAAAAAAGCAAAAAGTGGGCCAGTGAGTTGGCTCCGTAGGTCAAGTGCTGCAAAAGCCTGGTGACCTGAGTTCAATCCCAGCAACCCACATGAAGGCAGCAGAGAAGACCAGTTCCACAGAGTTGTCCTCAGACTGCCACATGCCCCTGCTCCCACATACACATCATGAAGTGATAGTAAATAAAAAGTTTTAAAGCAAAAAGATAGCTGGGTGTGGTGGCACACGCCTTTTATCCCAGCACTCAGAGGCAGAGGCAAGCGGATCTCTGTAAGTTCAAGGCCAGCCTGGTCTACATAGTAGTTCCAGGACAGCTGGGGCTACAGGAAGACCCTGTCTCAAAAATAAATTAAAAATTAAATCAAATTAAACACACATATACATAAAAAGCAGAGAGTTGGGGATGGAGCTCAACATGCCCAGGGCCCTGGGTTCAACTGCAGCACTGAAAACACACACACACACACACACACACACACACACACACACACACACACACACACACAAATCACATAAGAAAGTCAGAGTGCCTGAGAAGCCTCCTGCAGGATGGTGGGGGGATGGGAGAGGCAAGGGGAGAAGACTGCTCTAGGACTGGGTGTGGCCCTGGGTGAGCTAGCTCAGGAGCACCTTCAAAGCCACAGGGCCACAGTTAAACTTTCTGTTGTTCCCTGTGTTCCAGGAAGAAATTAACTAGGGGCACCACCCATGGTGGACTATCTTGCAACACCAGCACTCAGGCTGAGACAGGACTTTCCCAAGTTTTAAGCCAGCCTGGGCTACATAATGAGTTCCAGACCAGCAAGGGCTGAGTGAGGCCTTATCTCAAGAAACCAAAACAGCCAGGTGTGGTGGCTCAGGCCTTTAGTCCCAGCACTTGGGAGGAAGAGGCAGGTGGATCTTTGTGAGTTCAAGGCCAGCCTGGTCTACATAGTGAGTTCCAGGCCAACTGGCCCTACAAGGAGACCCTGTCTCAAGGAGCAAGCCTGATGACTACTGAGTTTGATCCCCAGTACCCACCTAAAGTGGAAGGAGAGAATCGACTACAAAGTTGTCCTCTGACCTCCACATGTATGTATGTGCTCGCTCTCTCTCTCTCTCTCTCTCTCTCTCTCACTCACACACACACACACACACACACACACACACACACACACACACACATATCTC